CCCCGCCAGAGCCGCTGCGGGTGCGGGCGCGGCTGCGGCTGCGCTCGCCGTCGGGGGCGTTCGCGGCGCTGGGCGCGCTCGTGGTGCTGGTGGGCATGGGCATCGCCGTGGCGGGCTACTGGCCCGGCCGCGCCTCCCACGCCCACGGCCCGAGGACCGGCCGCGCGCACGGGCCGCACGAGCGCCTGCGGCTGCTGGGGCCGGTAATCATGGGCGTCGGCCTGTTCGTGTTCATCTGTGCCAACACGTTGCTCTACGAGAACCGCGACCTGGAGACCCGGCGTCTCCGCCGGGGCGTGCTGAGGGCGCAGGCGCTGCGGCCGCCCGACGGCCCTGGCTGGGACGCGCTGCTGCCCAGTCCCGCGCATGGGTCCCCGGGCGCCGTCGCGGAACCTGAGACTTGGGACCTGACCCCAAGGAGGGGTCCCTCCCCCGTCCCGTCAGTGCGCAGCTTGCGGTCTGAACCTGCCAACCCTCGCTCGGGGCTACCTGCCCTGCTCCACAGCTACCCGTTGAAGGGCCCGGGGCTGCCACCACCCTGGGGTCCTCGGACTCAGACTGGACATGTAATCATCACGGTGCAGCCCTCTGGTTCCTGCATCGAGCACTCCAAGTCTCTGGACCTGGGCCTGGGGGAGCTTCTCCTGGGGGCCCCAGCAGCACGGGACTGTGCCCATCGAAGCTGGCCACGGCTGGACCGACTCAGTTTGGGGGGCTATGCCAAATTAGGAGGAGATTTGGGGGCCCGGGTCTGAGGTGCAAGGTATAACCTGCTGTGAGGCTACCAATGTGGACCATGGGACCGGGACACAAGAAGTCCAGTGCCCAATTCCAGTCACCTCCAAGGCTAGGATGGATGATGTTGTGGTAGCAGCAGCCGCTAAGGCTCCTGATCTGCATGTAAGGCAGTACCAGCTGCACCAAACGAGCTCCAGGGGCATGTGTTAATGTGGACACCAGCATGATTCAGCCTCAGGAATTTCTTTAGCCCATGTGGCCTTAGCCCACGACCGGCACCTGAAGGGCTGCAGGGTAGGCCAAGAGCATTCTGAGATGCACGGGGTACCTTGGCAAACAACAGTGGTGGGTTGGGATCTCCCAGGTTGGGACAGGCGCCCTCTAAGATGGCAGTCTAAGATGGTGGAAATGGGACCACCGGGGGAAGGTAACGAGGTGGAATGAGACCCTCTGCAGCTGTCTGGGGCAGTGACTACACCTCTAACTGCCACCGCCTCAGGTCCGTTCTTCCTTCTGCCAAGTGGGCTGTGTCCCGGCAGGGCTAACTACTGCCAGAGCCCTGACCTGGGACCAGACTGCGACCCTGGAAGCAGGCCTCATGTCTGGCCTGTGCCGAGAAAGCCTCCCCCAGCTGGCAGAGGCACCCTCCAGTTCTCAGCACTTCCTTTCCACTGCATCCTGGCCAGTGTGGGTAGCTTACTGTACACGGCTGCGGCTTCCCTTTCCGTCTCCCTTCCCAGGTTTAATTTCCCCACGCTTTTGTTAGAAGAAAACTTTAAAAGTAGATCAATCCTCACAGGTTTTTTTTTTTTTAAGTTTATTGAAAAATGCCATACAAGAAGCAAGACCAAACACTTACCTAAACACTACAGCCACATCTGTCACTACAAAAGGAGCAGACAGCAGGCCCAGTTACTGCCTATCTCACCTAAGGGGTTTTCGGTTGGACTCTGCCCGCATAGTTCCTATTTTGTCAAATGTAAACAACTACTTGATATGATTCATAATTTTTAAAAAATTTACAAAGCTCCTTCATTTTTGTCATGAAAATAATATATCTGAGAGAGATTTGTAAAAACAAGCAGCCTGGGGCTGATATTTCCCATGAGCACTGGGGGTGCTGGCCAGGCTGTGGCTCCAGCTCCATTTCTCAAAATGGGTCAGGGCCCCCAGACCCCAGAACACACTGTTGGCCTGGGGAAGGGCCCCCAGAGTCAGCCTCCTTGGGGCCTCGGCTTAGGAATATAGGGCTTGCTTTGTGGGTGGGTGGCAGAGATCTCATGTGGTTTGAAGGAAATCTACTTCTGAAGTAAAAATAAAACTGCAGTTGGGATTGTTACTGTGGTGTGCCTGAGTCACTTTGGGAAAAGTCCTGCCAAGTCTCTGACCCTGGAGATGGGACTCCCCTCCTCCCTCACTCCTTCTACCTGGACAGAGCCTGTTCTTCACACACACAACTGCAGAAAGAAAGAAAATCCAAACAATTACCATATCCCAGGATCTGTGGCCAGAGCTAGCAAAGGAGGGGGAGGAGGCTGGAGGGACATCAGAATTCTGGTCCAATTTCCAGACAGAGGCAGCAGCAGAGGGGCAGAGTTCAGGTACCCAGGTCTGAGGGCCTGATGAGGCACAGTGCCCACTGGGCAGGCTCCTCCTGTTCATTCTTTTCAAAGCTGGGTGGTAGTAAGAGTGCATGCTAATCCATCCTCTGCAGCCCAACCTTCTCCGGCTCAGTCCCAGTCTGCAATTTACTTCTGAGGACAGAACCCAAGCCTGCCCTCTCCCACCTGGGCTCCCCTTCCTCCCTTTCCTTAAAGCAAGCTGCCATTGGTAACAGTCTCATGAGAGTTAAAAGAAAACTGCACACTCAAAACCAGTTCAAAGTTGCTGAATTTGTACAGTGTTCAGCCTGGAGGCCAGAGGCTGCTGTGGCTTCCTACTTTGCTCTTGCCCCCGGCCACTGCTGCCCGTGACCCGCTGTCAAGCCTCATGAAGTTCATTCCAGCCTAGAATTAGGATTCTGCTAATCTTCCAGGCAGATGTTTGTAGGAAGTTAGCAGGAGGATTACAGAGGCCCTGTTGGGGGGGCAGGGGGGAGAAGGTCCCCAAATTCTCACTACCAACTGGGGACATCAGGCTCCCTTTTCAAAACTAACATTAAAAAAAGGAAAAAGGAAACTAAATCCAAAACCCACCACAAAATCAAGCTCTCAAAACCTGACAGACTTCTCAGGCAGCAAGTGGGGATGAGCAGAAATGGCTCACATCCACCCTGACCAGGGATGGCCACCAGGAGATGGGAAACACCCCAGCTCCCAGAGGGCGTCCTCAGGCCTGTCACAGAAAGGTCCGAGAATGCACCCTCTTCCCTGAGCCATGCCCCTTACCATGCCAGGTGGGAGGGGGCCTAGGCCGAGGCTGGAAGCGGCCTTAACAGGATCCGCTGAGGTAAAGGTGCCTCCCCCTGGGCAAAGCAACCTCCCCGAACAACAAGACCTGATTTTTAAAACCTCATTAACTTTTCTTCCCCTAAACTACAACTAAAAATGTTCCATTGGCACTTTTAGCCAAAAGTGCCTAATTTTTCCATGAGTTCTGGTCTCCTGAGATTGGAGCCAGGAATACACGAGGAAGCGGCTCTTTCCAACGAGGGACAGGGCAGCTGGGGAGGCGAGGGCCACAGATGCACTCACATGTTCACAGTATCAGCTCTGTGAAAAGCAACTGATTTCTTTGACTTAAGCTCCAAACAGATGGGGGTGACATCACATGCTCAGAGGAGGGCTCTGCCTCAGACACCCTGGAGTGGGAGGTCATGTTTCTGGGTTCTGTAACCAGGGCGTTTGCCCTGCCCGACATTCACTGGTGTATGACATTTTTGTGTCATCCAGGGGACAGGAAGCTGGGGAGGGGTAGGAGGTCCCACTGAGCTGGCTCTGGCCTCTTAACAGCTGGCAGAGCCTCTGGAGGGTCCTGGAGAAGTCTGTGGATTCTTTCAGGGTCTGCGTTGAAAATGAGTAGGAGAGACCTGGTTGAGAGGTTACCAACCACCCCATAAAAAAATCAAAGTGTCTTAAAAGTTGACAGTTTCTGTATCACAATATAGAGAGCATCCGTGGCATCTAGAGGAGTCTCAGTATAAATTCTGAATAGAAAATGAAGTTGGTTTTCTGTGGTGTGGAACAGTCTTCAGAGTCTGAAGTCTGCTGCAGACTGGCTTCTTTATCACATGCTGGCTTCTCTGGGATGGGGACAGGTGGGGACGGGGCAGGACAGTCCCTAGGGTGAAGAAAAAGCACGTGTTTGAACCTCACAAAGGAGTAAGCTTCTAGCCTCACCAGGAGGCTCTCCTGGCTGTGACACAGGAGGTTGTACTGGCTACCTAGCCCAGCGTTCCCTTGTGGCAAGCATTTATCCTGCATCCCAGCTCTCTGGCCTGGCCCCCAGAGCACCACATTTCCCAACCCCCGCGCATTCTTCCAGAAGCCTGGCTCTTCCCCCCTCAGCCCTATTCTCCAGACTACTTGGTGCTGGCCTGCAGTTTCTAGAGTTGCCAAGGACAGAATAACAAGTCAGAGGTAACAGGGGACTCCAGAGGTGAGGACAGGTCAGACTCACCCACGTTTAGGTGCCTACTCCTCAGTGCTGCTAGCAACACCAAGGCAGAAGGACACACACGACCCGGCTAGCAACACCAAGGCACACTAACACACACCACCTGGCTGCTCTGGTTGGAGCCACACAGTTAACAATAGCCTATGCCTTTGCTTTAGTGAGTTCCGGTATACATATCTCTTGGGAGCAGGAGCTCCCCAAAGTGTCCAGAGTTCCTTAGAACTCTCTCTGGCTGAGATGATGACACTCCCCATCCCTGAAGGAACACCCCTACCTGAGCTCACTCCTCAGAGATCTCGGTCTCCTGGTGGACTACCACCTTGGTCACTGACATGTCTGGGTGCTGTTCCTTGGCCTCCTTGATGGCTTGTACGAGGACCTGTGGCAAGAGGCAGAGCGTCAGGCAATAAGGAATGTGGTTGATGAAGGGAGCCCGGGGCAGCACACAGCACAGCCCAAGGGGATCAGTGCCTTGTCCTAGCCTATCCTGCAGACCCAGGCCACAGAGGCAGGGAAGGGCAGAGGTTTTCTTCAGAAAAAAAAAAAAAAAAAAGAGGGCAACCTTAGGAGGGAGAAGTTCTGTTTACATATGAAATCTAAAGCACAAACGGTTTAACACAGGAATGGGGTTGTCTGGTCAGGAAGGCAAGGAAGCACAGGTTTTAAAAAGGAAGAGGTGTCTTTGGCACCAGTGGAAGGAAGGCAGGAAGACACAGGCAGGCTGACCTATGGTGTTCTAGGCACTGGCGAGTTCATTTACATAATCTTCCCGACAGAGGGAGTCAGGGTTATGCTGTGTTCCACTCTATAAACAAGGAAGCTGCACGCAACACAGATACCAAGTTGTTTTTTAGCTAGGAGGACAGCCAGGCTTTTAAATCCAAGTCTCTTCTTTGCTATATAGTCTGTTAGTTAGGTTCCAGGGTGCCAGTCCCTGGAGGAGCTACAGAGCACAGAGGGACAGCCACAGTAGGAGGTGACACCACTATCCAAGTAGCCTGTTAGAGCTGTCTGATGGTTCATAAGAACAATCTCCTCCAGGACTAGAGGGAGACAAGGTCTGGTATCTAGATTTCCACAAAGCCCGCTGTCTCTGCTCCCCCTGCTCTTCTTCTCGACCAGCTGCCACACTCCAGGCCCAGCTCAAACCCTCTTCCTGGAGGCCCCGCCTCCTTCTAGGAAAGCCAGAGCCTTCGTTTCCTAGAAGAGACAAGGGGCTCGAGCTGTCTCTGAGCCATCAAGTATCATTACGCTGACTCTGACCCATGCTGATAGTTATGTGACAAAACAAAGTCGCTGCTCAGAGGTGCTCAAAAGTGCATCGAGAGATCAGGGGCAGAGGTAGGGTTCAGGCCTGTCTGCTATCAATACCTTCTCCCCCACAGCTCTTGCTGTGAGAGCACAGACAACACACAGTGGGGCTCAAACCACAGGTTGTGGGAAAGTAAGAAGGACCCACTGAGCTCAGCACAGGCCACAAGGCCCAACTTGGGCTTCCAGCCTTGCTTCTGGGACCCTGAGCCTAGTGTCCACAGCAGTGAGTTAGCTCAGCTCTCCAGACTCCTGTCCTCAGGTACGTCAGCAGAGGCCAGCAGCTGCTCTGACAGGCCTACCTCCTCCACAGCCTCTCCCATCCCCTCTGCAGCTTCACTGTTCTAACAGCACCCAGCAGAGAACTGGGAACATTAATTCTGACCTTATTATTTTCTAATTGCTTGTAACACATAATTAGCACCTAATTAACATAAAAACATAGAATTTTAGCACCCAGAAGGGCCCAGGAATTATCTGGATCAAGCCACTCTTTTAGAGAGAAGACTATCAGATGTAAAGTGATCTACCCAAGGTCACACAGCAAGTTGGTGACAGATCCAGGACATAGAATGAGTTCTCCGTCTCTGGGTGTCTTACCCTCCTCCTGCTCTCTTCCCCTGCAATTGGCTCAGCTACTGCAGCACTCAGCAGCAGGGGACAGCACTCCCCTTTGCCTTCGTGCTACCATCACCCCTGCACAACAAACACACACACACACACACACACACACACACCGTTATTTGAGACAGGGTCTCTCTCACTATGTAGCTCAGGCTGGCTGTGGAGAACTTCCTGCCTCAGTTACCATGCCAGTCTGCCCCACTAAGAGCCCGGCTCCCCTAGGCTTCCATATTTTGAGTTCCTTTGTTTTCCCTCTCAAGAGCTAAGGAGGCTGTGCCCACAAGGCCCCGCCACATTCCCACCTGATCATGGTCGATATCAGCATCTCCTGTGATCACAATTCTCTTCTCGATCCGGGTCTCAGAAATCCCACCTTTTACAGTCTGTAACCAAAGGAAAACACCCAGTGAGAGCCAGGCACAGCAGGAAGGAAAAGCAAGACAGCCCAGATGGTTCTAAAAGCTCCTGTCCAAACTGTTTTGTTTGTTTGTTATTTGAGAATGTAGCCCAGGCTGAGCACCACAGTGCTGGCACTGCCCACGACAGCCTTTTCCCACGTCTCAGCACAGGGTATGACCTGCCAAAAGGAGCTTCCCGCTCCATGACCTTGGGCCACTAGACTCTTATTGTACAAGAACAAAAGGACACAATTTGTTATTTACTTGCTTTCTTCTTTTTCACAAAACTACAGACACCCAGCAAGGAACAGAGCTGCCATGTGCTCTTCTAGTTGGACCTGACTGCTCAGGATGGGAGCAGAGCTTCAGACAGGGACTCCTATGTATGACAAAGCCTGGCCAAATTTGTTTTCTTTTTTTTTTTTTCTAAACTTCTTACCTATAATGGATTGCAGGCCAGGTGTGGTGGTACACACTATAATTCCAGTACTTCCTAGCCTGAGGTAGTTCATGAGTTCCAGGTCAGCCTGGGCTACAGTGAGATGTCTCAGGGGGAGGGGAGATATTTCCTCTAGTGCTACAGCAAAACTGGGCTGCCTGATTGTTTAAGGATAATTCCAAGTTTTGGCATTTTGTCCCCATGGTTTCCTGTAAAGCAGTCCGATGATTTCAGCATTTCAGCTCCAAACTACACTTCCCATGGCCTCAGGACAAAACATAAAATGATTCATCTGATCACAGATCTGGTTTCTAGCTCTGAAAGTATGATTCTATCATATCAACAATCCCTGTCCTTAAATTGTGTGTGTGCGTGTGTGTGTATGTGACTGCATGTTGGGGATGGAACCCACAGCCGCCCCACAGCCTGTATGTGGTAGGTATGTGCTCTGCCACTGAACTATACCTCCATCTTAAGCTGAATTTAGACTTCCTCCACAGCAAGCTGGACAGAGGTGTAATGAAAATGACTCTTTGTGGCTTTCCCAGGTGTATTCTGGGGAAGGCATCTTTCTACCTGGGACACTTTGAATAACAATGCAATGGGGTCGAAGCTGAGAGCCTCTGCATACATAGGTCCCCCTCCTATGGTACAGCCCCAAGCTCAGCAGGCCACTGGAAGCTCGTTACCTTGGTAATCTGTGTCGTGGTTGTACTACTTGTGGTCTCGGATGTGATGGTCTGAGCTGTCAGCAAGACTCCAGGGTCTAAGTCCCCATTGCTGTCCTCAGTCTGCAAAAGAAAGGACAAGTCATCAGGCCCCTCAGGAGGCCTTGGGCTCAAACCCCCAGGTTCAAAATAGCTCTTCAGCTGCATTCTGCTTCAAAATCTAATCCCCTTACAGTGCCTCTCACTTGATAAGCAGAACCAATCTCCTGGGAACCAGACTGTGTCTTAAAAAGTGGGAAAAACAGAGCTAGAGATGGCTTAGTGGCTAAGAGCACTGGCTGCTCTTCCAGAGGACCTAGGTTTGATAGGATCTTCCTTCTTAGCACCTACATGACAGCTCGTAACCATCTGTAACTCCAATTCCAATGTCCTATGACAGCCAGAGCTACATAGTGAGACCCTGTCTCGAAACAAACAAGCAAGTCAGGTATGCAGCACACACATTGGATTCAGAACTTGGGAGGCAGAGGCAGGCAGATTTCTGAGTCTGAGGCTAGTATGGTCTATGAACTCGAGGATAGCCAGGGCTACAGAGTGCCCTGCTCCCCAACAATGTTGATGAGTACCAGTTCCCAGCACCAGGTCACTAACTGGCATGGGTCTGAAAGAGGCAGGAGTGTGGCAGCTTCAAGGGTGACTCCAGCCTGCTGCAGTTCACAAAGGGCCTTTGAAGCACTAGCATCCCCCCAGTTAGAAAACTGGGACTGGAAACTATGGAGGGGTCATTGTGTTCTCATCAGACCTCAAGGCAGGAGAGATACGAGCTCTGGGTAAGTGAGCTAGGCCACAGTGTGAAATGGGAGTCTCACACTTGTCAGTGAGGGAACAGTTCACCTCCAACTGAGCCAGGGACTGACCATATGAGGCAGAGAGTGTCCACCCATGAGAAAGCAGGGTACATGCGCGGTAGGCTTTAGAGACTCTGACTGTAAGGGCTCCTCCTTGTTGGGAGGGACGTAAGTATTTTAAATGCCAGGCTTCAAAACATAGGATCCATCAAGGGCTAAGGCTGCTAGTTATGATTAGCTAAGAAACGACATTAGCAGGAAGCTAAAGGGATGGTGGCAGGCTAGGGACAACTGTTATCAGCAGGCACGTGGGCAGTAGAGCCAAGCAGACCTCCATGGCCAAGACAGAAGGAAACCGGAGGAAGACGGAGGTTACCTAAGGTATGTGCTTGCTAGTTAGTGGACCGGAAACACAGGGCCATGGACACTACCTCTATAGAGGGCACCACAGAGAATGGACACTATTTCCATGACGGGCACCGTACCAGACAACAGTAAATCACCCCCTCCTCCTCTTTATGTAAGCCCCCAGAATAAGCAGTGTTATCAACTTCATTTTTAAAAACTTGGTCCTACTATGCTGCTCAGGCTAGCCTTGACTCCCCAGGCTCATGTAAGTCTCCTGCCTCAGATCCTGAATAGTTGAGGCCACAGGTGTGGAACACTGTGACTGGCTTTATTTCACTTATGAGCAGGGTCACACATTTCATCTGGACAAACGAATCTCTGAGGTGCTAGGGAGGAGTGAAGACTCAGAAGGGGCAGACCCTTGGTGGAGCCGGGTTCCCGCCCTTCATACCAGTGCAGTGTTGGCTGGCCCACTGGTATTTTCTTCTGCTGAGACCATTAATCTATGGAAGATTCAGACCCAACATATACGCTTTACAGTCCTACTATGTGTCAAGCACACCATGTGACTGCTGCTTCACATCTGAGGTACCTGAGGTAGAGACTGTTTGATTCTCTGTGTAGTTAGGAACACTGGGCTTCAGGGAGGTTGATTTGTCCAAGGTTCTATAGCTCATCGGTGTTCAAAGGACACAGAATGGGCGAGAAATTTGTTTGAAGACTAGGATTTGAATTTCCCTTCAGTTAGCACCCAGCTACGACAACTACTCACTGTCCAGGCTCCAAGTAGTTCATGCTGGCTTCAAACTACCTACGTAGCCATGGCTGGACTTAAACTCATGATCCTTAATTTTCTGTTTCCTCACTTCTCTCTCTAGGTCTCAAGTAGCTCAGGTTGGCCTCAAGTTCTCTTTGTAGCTGAGGCTGGCCTTGAAACCTCCCCATCATCCTCCTGCCTCTGCTTCCCACGTGCTAGGATTTTAGGCACGCTCCACCACGCCCACCAGTTTTCATTTATAGAAGCTGGCACTGTAGCATGCTCTGCCGAATCACAGCACTGTGAAGACCAGAAGAAATCACAGAGGTGGAAGTGCTTCGTAAGAGTATAACTCAGCAAGCAGTGGTGGCGCAGGCCTTTAATCCCAGCACTCAGGAGGTAGAGGCAGGCGGGTCTCTGTGAGTTCGAGGCAAGCTTGTTCTATATAGTGAGTTCCAGGACAGCCAACAAAAGGCTATTAAATATCTTGCCAAGGAGGCTGACCCTGAGCACAGAGCTGAGCCTGTGACTGTTTTCACTTGCTGCCCACCCTGCACTCTGTTCTGTCTGTTTCTGGAGGAGGAAGATGGAGGCCCTGTCATGGCTGCCCACTTCCATCTATCCACTCCTCCCTCACCAGTTTCCTTTCCTTCACCCTCTCACCAAGACTTCCTTAAAGGCGCCATAGCGCTGACAGTCCCCTGTAGGCATCCACTTGTCCTGTAAGCCAGGCATTTCATTCTTAGGTGTTTATTCAAGTAAAACATCTACAGAGACATGCACGTGAATTCACGTCAGTTCTAGTCACATTTGTCCAACTCTGGATACACCCCAGCTGTCCATCAGAAAGTGAAATGAAAAAGATTGTGGCCTTGAGGCCTGAGAGACGACTCAGCAGGTAAAGCACTTGTCATGTAAGCTTGAGAAACAGTTCCTGCTCCCAGAACCCAGGAAGTGCTGAGTGGGTGTGAAGCCCACTTGTAAGAAAATAATAAATGGTAACATCACTAAGCTGGTGTTTTGCCCAGGACTGAAATCCAAACACTCAGGAGGCTGATCACAGTCTGCAGTACTTGGGAAGCATAGTATGTGTGTGAAGCCAGAGCGGGCGGGATAGACGGAGACAGTATACATTTCTGGCCTCCTGCCTCCACCTCTCAACAAGATGCCTATCTTATAAGGTTCTGAGGGCGGAACTCAGGCTTCACGCAGGCTGGGCAAGCCCATTATTGATCAAGCCCCGATACCTTGCATTTAAAAAAAAAAAATCTTGATAGGGACTCAGTTGCCTAGGTTGGCCTTGAACTCACAATCCTAAGACCTCAAGAGTAGCTGGGTTATAGGTCTGCACCACCGAGCTTGGCCCCACTACATTTTTAATGTATATGCTACAAAGTTTTCCAACTTCAGCTTGGAGCTTAAGTGGTGTGCAGTGAGCCTCTCTCCCATTTCTGAGGAGGCTCAGTTCCAGTCTTGTTTGTTTTCGAGACAGGGTTTCTCTGTGTAGCCCTGGCTGTTCTGGAACGCCCTCTGTAGATCAGGCTGGCCTCAAACTCAGAAAGCCCCCTGTCTCTGTCTCCCAAGCACTGGGGTTAAGGGTGTGCACAACCACTGCCCAACCTTCAGGTCCAGTCTCATTCTTGAGGGTCACACTTCTTTTACCTGATTTTTTTTTCTTTTTTTTTTGTTTTGGTTATACTAGGTTCCAGCTGGTCTTGAGTTAATGGTCCTCCTGCCTCAGTTTCCCAAGTGCTAAGACCAGAGGTGAGCCACATATATCACTCACACTTTTTCTTTTCATTCATTGAGTGTTTATGTCTGTGGTGTAGCAGTATGTGTGTAAATATGTGCACATGTGCACGCAGGTGAGCAAACAGGTGTGTGTGCACATGTGAATGCAGGCGAGTGAACAGGTGTGTGTGCATGCAGAGACCAGAGGTTAGCAAAGGCTGTCTGCCTCAACTGTTCTCCATCTTCGGTATTTATTTGTTGTTTGTTTTCAAGACAGGGTCTTACTATATAGCCTTGGTTGGCCTGGAGCTCACTATATAGACCAGGCTGGCCTCAAATTCATAGAGATCCACCTGCCTCCGCCTCCCAAGTGTTGGGATTAAAGGTGTGCACCACCATGCCTGGCTTCTAGCTTATTTTTGAAATGGGATCATTCACTGAACCTGGAGCTCACTAATTTATATAGTTTGTCTGGACAATGAGCTCCAGGGATCGTCCTGTCCCCTCTCTCCTGACCCTTGCCACCAGCACTGAGGTCACAGGCGCTTGCCCCACGCCTGGCATTTTCCATGGGTGCTGGGGATCTGAACTCAGGTACTTCCATAGCAAGCACTTTACCAACCAAGCCATCTCCTCAGCCCTTTGCTTTTAATTAACTATCAGGGAGAACGCATTGCTTCTCAAGGCCACATCACACGTAGCTCTTACATACATGCACTCCTCCTTTCTGCCCATGAACAAAAGATAACATGATTCCCAAGTTTGGTGTAGGCATATTGTTTTCTGAACTGCATAAAGTTTACCCTTGTGTTATTCAAATCCTGATTTCTCTGCCCTCATACCTTGTTTCAATTTGGATACAGCATTGTAATGCTTACACCAAGACTTCTCCTGTCTCTAGTTTGCATAAACAATTCTTACTATTTATTCTCTGCTTGTCAATCAATGCTGATTATCCAATGGCTGGGCAGAATACAGAATAGGTTGTGAACTTCCACCAGCAGTGGGGAGGGGAGTTCAGATCGGAGCCAGGAAGAGACAGTGTGAGAAGACACCATGGGAAGAAACTTCTGAAGCAGAGAGAGCTAGGCCAATATTAAACTGCAGGTATCACGGGATGGGGCTAGGAGGCAGCCAGATTAGCAGGAGAGGTTAAGGGAATCATTTAACTACCCAGCTACTGAGGTGCAACTTGAAATAAATCACAGTTTCTCTGTGTGGTTATTGGGGTCTGACTAGCAAGGGTGAAGAAATAATAGCTGCTGGATTAACTCACTCTATGCATACATATTAAAACAATCCATTTTACAGGATTAACTCACTCTAGGCATTCACATTAAAACAATCCATTTTACAGTCTGGCCATCCTGCTCACTCACACATCTACCGTGTAGACTGGTCCCCAGCAGAAGCCACACAGAAGTTCCTCAATAGGATGCTCCATTACTGATTTAACCAACGCCCCACTGAAGGCCGTTTAGGCTGCTTCCATGGCAGTGACAATTTGAAGCACGCATTCCTTTTCATATGTAAGTCATTCTTTTCCGCATCCCCAGGCTAATACCACGTACAATCATGACACTTTTTCTTTGCTTCTTCTTCAGTCACCTCCACTGCCAAGGCCTACTTGATAGCTTTTCTCTGTCTCTCTTGACTAACAGGTCTTTCCCTTCACTTCCTAAGGCTATACTAACTTCTGTTCTTATGATCATCTCCCCAGATCTGCCCTGGTCATAATCTTGTCTCCAGGCCGGTCCCTGCTTTAATACAGTCAACACGAAGCTCTGGGAATCATCTTAAAAGGCTATTGCTTTAATGATGCTACTTTGTCACTGCAATGATGCCAGAACCTTAAAGCAACTTATCACTCACCAAATTAAACCCCACACTCCAGACCACACCAGAGAGGAAAGGAGCACAGACACTGATGGAACACCATGGAACGCCATGGAAATGCCAGTGCTCTGCAGAACCATGTCACCTAAACTTCCTGCAAATTCTGCAGGGAATGTTAGCCTATCCCAAGTCAGAGGCAGCGATGGAGAGGCTGGTGACTGGTGTAGGATTATCGAGCAAGCAGCTACCCCTCTCTGGGGAGACGATGCTGTGTCTAATTGCAAAGCATATGCTTTACCGTCCACGCTTCCAGAGGGTGAAGCATCCTGCAGCTCATGGTGATGAGCCAGAGCTATCCCGCTGCCCTCTTTGCGTTGTCCCCTACCACTGAGCACATCTCCAGCTCCTTGAATTATCTCTTTATCCCACTTGAATCTCTTATAGAACTGTCTAGTGTCTGACGTGTTTATGTGGGTCCCCTCCCTTTTCATTTTTGCTTACTAATTTTTCCTTGATTCAGGCCACCCTAGGGAGGGTCTCGAACTCCCAACTGCCCGACTCCACTGTTCGTGTGGGGATTCTGTTGTGGGCCACTGTGTCTGGTGTTACAGTACTTTATTGCTTATCCTTCTCTCCTTCCAGAATGTTCCCTGGAGGATAGGGACTGTCTACACTTACACCACTTTGACTTAATACATAAAAGGTCAATAAACATCAGTTATAGAAGTGAATTAAGAGCTCTTCTTATAGAGGATTGACTTCTTGTTGTCTGTGACTAAAAAACAGAATTCAACAGAATACAACTCTGACACGTCCAAATTACCAAAAATGATGAAGTTTCACTGTAATTAGGAAATAAAAGATTTTAAAAAATTTTAAACCCTCACAATAATACCAAGACATGGAAAGTAGCATCATTAGTAGGACTGGCCAAGGTTTAATGACTTGTCCAATTAGGAAACAGAGGAACAAGACCTGAGCTCAGGTTTGTCTGACCCAAAGCCCTGTTCACGTTACACTAAAATAACTTTCCCAAACGACTTGGATGGATGGACACGAGTGGACAGATTTGTGGTAATTTCATTTGCTCTTTGGTGCTGGGGTCTCACACATGTCAAGTTCAATGTTATCCCATGGACATTTGGCATTGATTTACTTTTAAAGATAAATTATTTTGAGACAGGGTCTCATGTAGCCCAGGCTGGCCTCAAACTCACAATGTAACTGAGAATGACCCTGGACTCCTGATCCATCTGCCTCTACATCCAAAGTGCTGTGTAGCAGCACTTTGGATTTTATTTTTAACTGTTTCTATGTGTGTATGTATGCACGCAAATGGGTGCCACCTCACAGGTCTAAGGACAACTAACAGCTACCAGTCCTCAGGCCCTTTTCCTCTTTGGTTTGAGACACGGTCTTTCCCTGACACATAGGTCAGACTAGTGGGCCTGCAAGCTTCTACCTAAAGAATCTGGGGGTCCAAAGCCAGGTCGTGAGACAAGTGCTTTACCAACTGAACCATCTTCCCAGCTCAAACCAGATCCGGTTTTATGTGGTTCAGGGATTGAACCCAGGTCTTTGTGCATCCTAGATGAATACACGTATTAGCTGAGCTGTCCAGTCTTTGTTCGGAAGCAGCAGACAGTGTCTTACCTGGGCAGCTTCATAGGTGATGGTCTTGGTCTCAGTGTGGACAATAGGGACGTCTTTGGTTGGGATTTCACTTTTCACAGCATTGGCAGTATCTGAGATGGTGACAGTTTGAGTCTTTACCAGGGGAGGCTGTGGACAGTAAAGAGACAGAGTTGGCCAAATCTTCTTGCAGGCCACGGAGATCTGAACCTTCTGACCCTGATCTGATCAAAGCATTAGCTTGAATCTTGAATCAAGCAAAGGCTGGAATCACTCTCCAGAGGACAAGATTCCCAAAAAGCCTTGACAAGGTGGTACGTCTTGAGAAGGACATGGAAAGAGGCTACTGCGGCTACTTTCATAAGCTTAATGGAAAACTGTAATGCCAGACACTTTATGACTGGCAATATAAAACACTTCAGACCAACCTTCAGAATTTGAATAGAAAATTATTTGCCAAATAAAAATCACTTCTATCGTCCTTGTGACTGGGTCTTTTAATTAAGAAAACCAGGCACATTTCCCCACGAAGTACAAACGTACGTGGAGCAGCAGAAGCCCTGGAACACATTTCCTTGGAATTCATTAACTTCTTTCAAATCAATGTCAGACGTTCACTTTGGATTTACCGAAAAGAAACAGTATTTGGAAAATCAGAAAGAAAAAAAAATCAGTTTTCCCACCACCTGGTGATTAATTTCAGAATTCCGAAAGAATGAACGTTAGTGGAACGCACAGGCCCTTTTGCCTATCTGTTCACCTTTCCCAGGCTATCAATCACCCTAAAACTACCATTCGATCGTGATAAGGTTAAGTGGCCATTCACCTCAGTGCAGAAGTTAGAGCCTGTGATCACAGCAACCCTATGAGGAGGCAGTGGAAGTGGTGGGCTGGACAACAGAGCAGTCCCATGTCAGTGAGGAGTACTGGAAAATTCTTGAGCATAGTCTTAGGACTCTGAAGGCTCCTCCCCACAGGAGTCTCTGTAATTCATTTCACCATAGCTCAGCCTTGAGAATGGAAAGAGGAACCAACTTACACCAGCTGCTCCGAGGGAAATAGCTGGAGTTTATTCCTGAGAGTTTTGTTAAGTCATTATAAGAGAAAACAGGACTGGTCAGAGTTAATTCCTCTGACTGAGTTTCTTTACGCCATCAAGGGCTTCACTTCCGTGACACTGCAAGCAGCAGAGAGCACACCCTTTACCACCACTGCCGCCTCACTTCCTCCACAGACCAGAGGCCGGCCCTCTCCCAAAGGGTCTCATTAGACCTACATTGTCAAAGTGGTCACTACCTGGAAGCTTCGAATGAGGATGGGGAACTGGTTACCCACAGGAGAGTCAAGAGAAGATCCGCTCTGGGTCTCAAGGGCCTCTGCTGGTGCACCCGGCTCTTCGCTACTGTCTGCCTTTTTCCCACTGAGTTGCAGCTGGCAGGAAGCTGGAGTTACTGGGAAACTTAACGCACTGTCCTGTTCCTTCATTCCTAAACATTCCCCACTTGGGCCTGTTGGCATCTCTTCAGCATCAAGATAGCCACCTGACCCCTGCTCCTTCTCTTCTGCCTCCTTGCTGTTTACGGAGAGGGAGCCAGAACCAAAGCTCTGCGGAGACGTCGGTGGGGTGGTCATCAGGCTCTGACTAGGAACTACTGACTGCTCGGGGCACTCCCATTCAGAGGCAGGGTAGGTCATGGTAGCCACCTCCTCTGTGCGAATGCCATTTACACTCTACAAATGAATGACACACACAAAGCGAGATCATGGGTAAGTGGAGAAATCAGAGCGAAACTCCGAGAACCAGCAAAGATGTTCAGGAAGTCTCAAACATATTAATGCTATTCCCACCAAGACTCTTAGCTCCAAAGATGTTCTTTTGAACAACTACTCATCCACGAGTCAGGAGCTGAAGCAGTTACAACTTTGTGTGGACCTACTTCTGGACCACTGTCAATAGGAGAGCAATTTTAGTGCACCTCACAGTATTCTGCAAGTTCATCTGCCTACAGCCCTCAATATACAGCATCTGCGCTCACACTTAAAGGAGCTACTCTGTCACTCCTCACTGGCTCAATTATGCAAAAGACCATGCAACTTGGGAATTCATCAAAACATGTTCTTGATGAGTTCTCAAAGCTCCACACTGTATACGTCATATTGGTTAGTCCCTAAGAGGAAGCAGAGTCTCCGGCTTCAGCAGGGAACAGGAGCAGAGTTCATGTTGCATAGACAGCTTCAGACCTGATCCTGATGGCAGGCCTGATGCCAGGGGAAGGGAAATGAGCAGCCGCCGGCAGGCTTCTTCACAGATGAACCACCACATGCCAACCACAGAGGGAGGAAAGTCCAGGAAACAGTTTCCTCCTGGCTACATGTCTCTCCTTGTGGGATGGATATGTATACATGGCACACACATACATACACACATATATGTACATATTTATTTAGCTTTTACTACATCAGTTTTAAAATTGTAGCTCTGAAAGCAGTTCATCATGAAAAGTTAAGCATTGACATATATAAACTAATATGAACTTAAAATTCACCATACATTCGTTTCACTTTTAGCTTGACTTTCTAGCAATCTGCATCATCCTTGATTCTGGCTGTTATGAGGAGATGTTCCCTTGTATGGGAGTTAAGACCACTCTGGCCTCAAATCTCAGAAAGATCCTTTTACTGCTTTACATGCTATGTGGGGAAGGGGATCTTTTAGGAAGATGTTCCTGGAGAAAGCACACGGCTTGCACAGCTGACGCATTTCAGTGCCAACAATCAATCAATCAATCATCTACTTACCTAGCCCGTCTATCCACTTATATTTAAAAACCACTGCCCTTCCCCTGTAAACCAGCCCATTTTGTGATGAACAGAAAGTAATGTCCTCTTAAGGCCCTGAACTCCAGATCCACTTAACTCCTGAGCCATCTTCAAACAGGCAACTTTAGAGCATCTGGAACAGGTCCATGCTGAATCAGACGAGGACACCTTGCATATAAGTATTATAAGTTATAAGTATTGTATAGGGCACGCAAGAGAACTGAGGACTTGGGAATCTAGATGTCCAAAGATCAGACACATAAACATTTTGGCTAAATAGCATGAGTTTCCTCACATTTAAAGTGGAACTAACATTTAGCTGGGCTTGTAGAGGTCTTAGGGTCAAGTATAATAACATTTATGTGAACACTTTTCAAGTCTAAGGTCCCAACAACTCCCTTCACAAAAATCAGCCCATCAGTAGGGCAGCTAAGATGGGTGAGGACAAGAGGACTCAAGAACATGAGTTTATCATCGCTGCGAAGACACTGGACTACATTCTTATCCCACAAACTTTTGGATTTTTTTTCCCTCTAAAGAATTGACCAAAAATAGCTCACAAATGGGCCTTCTCACAATGTGTGCCCACCCCAGCTCTGGGAAGTACTAAGCCCATTCACACGCACAGGAGCAGCAAAACTTCTCTAAATAATTTTCCTACAGCTGGAAGGCTGGCTGATTATGACAGCCAAACAATGGTCAACTTTGTTGGTGTTTGCACTTTTTTTTTTTTTAAGAACAGTGTCACTATATGTCCCTGGCTGGCCTTGGATTTGTGATTAACCCCCTCAAGTGCTGGAATCATGGGCATGCAACATGCCTGGCAGGGCAGCTCTGTGTCAATCCACAGAAATGATGCGACAGACAGACTGCCATCGAGAAGTTATTTGTTAATTAAACATTATTTAGCCTAAAACCTCTTTTTGATTTTTTGTTTTGTATGCCCCTGGGCAGGGCTGACGGTTCTTCCTCCCCGCTCGGAGGCCCTGGGGACTAAACTGAGGTCATCAGGCTTGGCAGCAATTAAATGGATTGATTTTCCTCTCCCTAAAGCAAATATAAAAAAGACCAAAGGTTCAAGCTGTAGTGAGGGTAAGGTCAGCGTAACAAACACTCAGATGCCTCGCGTGCAGGAGCTGTCGGAGATAAAGGGAAGAGCGGCAGCAGTGGGCTTGGTCAGCCATGTAACCACACTCCAAGTCCAAGTCAACCTCTCTGATTGGTGCCATTGTCTGATCTCAAGGGCAATTCAGACAACTATTACTGGACATCCCCCATCTCCCTTAGAAGGAATGTAACGTGTTCCAAATTCACCCTCCTGTGTTGCTGCCTAGCTTCTCTGCTGATAAACGGTAGCACCGTCTGCCTAGTGTGCCAGGTCCGAGTCTGTATCTGTGCTCTCTTTATGTGTTTGTGAACAGGTGTGTGGATGTGTACCTGCAGATGTGAAGGTCAGAGGTCAACTTGTGGAAGTCAATTCCCTCCTTCCACCATGTGGGTCCCAGGGCTGGATCTCCGGCAATCGGGCTGGGCACCTATACTCGGAGCCCTCTCACTACCCAGGCCATTTTCATCCCGTAACACTTACCTAGCCGACTGTCTCTGTTTCCACATTTACTAGCTTCACTTAAGGGGCACCTGGTTTTTAAGAGACAGAGGTTCTCACAGGTGTGCAGCGTGCCCAAGCCCAGCGAGCCTCCTGTCTCCATCACCCTAGCGCATGTGCCACCACACCTAGCATTTTTACTTGGTTTCTGGGGTCCACCGGATTATCTCCCTAGTCTCTCATTTAATTCTTTGTTATTTCACTTTGTGTAGTCATTATCCTTATTTTATAAATGGAGGGATGGAAAGCTTAAGCATGTTAGGACTATGGTTTCGATCCAGCTCTGTCCCTGGTTCTGAGGCGCCTCTCTTCCCACAGCACTAGGCAGGATTCTGAGGAGGACTAACACACAAGTCCAACTGTGCTAAGAATGACCATCACAACAGTCCAATCTGGAGAACACGATGACTCTCCAAAGAACCCAGAGAAGGACCTATTTTAGTGGCTGACATTACATTTTTAAACATAAGACACTTGAAAAGACAGAGAAGATAAGACTGCAGGGGATATAAAGTTTCCTGACAAGAGAAACTCATAATCTGGCAGCTAATGTTCATGAAGAATTCTAACTGACAATGCTGTTGCCTTTGGCCACGGCCATCAGCATAGGCCACAGTATTATATAATTCTGCACAACTGCATGAAACCAAATTAGCCTAGAAACTATGAAGGGATCTTGCCAGAAATATGACTTGACATATGGCTGTGTCTAAACCATCCACAGCGAATGGCAAAATTGAGGCTTTATGTGACGCTGAGGTGTCTGTTGCTCTAGCTGTTGCTTATCTGGAATGTTGGAAGACTCAAGGAAGCAGGCTACCATAACAGACCAGATACATGTACAAGGCACAGTGACAATATGTTGGCTTCAAGCACATGAGAAGGCCCAGGCATGGCGGAACAGACCTCTAATCCCATACTTGATATAGACAGGCAGAGCTCAGTGAGTCCAGGCCAGCCTGGTCTACATAGTGAGTTCCATGCTATCCAGGACTACATAATGAAACACACACACACTTTCTCTCAGAGAGAGAGAGAGAGAGAGAGAGAGAGAGAGAGAGAGAGAGAGAGAGAGAGAGAGGAGAGAATATGAAAACAAAGTCAATTGGAAAATATTTACTTGAATAGGAAAATCATTTGAAGGCTCAATCTCATTTAAAAAGATAATAGCTCCTGAGGTAGACAGAAGAGATCAGGAGTTCAAGGCCATCCTTGGTTATACATTGAGTTTGAGGTCCTGGAATATGTGAGATCCTGTCTCAAAAGTACAACTCCCCCGGCCCCCAAAAAGTTCATGGTGCATGCTAAGTATGAGAATTCAATATATTTTGTGGAAGAAAATAAGATTTCCCCCACCAAAGTCTTTCTACATGTTCAGTGAAATTGTATCTTCAAAATTTATTAGGTAACACTGGGAGCTTGCTGTAAGTGTCAGGTATCTGTTGCCACCCATTAAATCCAATCTAGTCTTTTCTTTCAGGTTACTTTGGAAAGACTCACACATTTGAAGAGACTATAGAAATAGCCACAGTTGTACCTAAAAGTCTAATGTAAGAGATCACAGTAAAAACACATTCTGAAAAACCTTTCTCGGATTATTCTACTTAAACAAACGTCAGTCGTATTTTCCTGAAGAACTGTAATACTTTCTCTTGTGTTTATCTTTCACTTGTTCTCTTCTTGGTGAGAATAAGTGCTGCCTCTGAGCTGCTGGGCTGTGAGAGGAAACCGGCATCTGTCTTGGAGGAAGGAAGAGATGCACCTAGCACTGTCCTGTCATATCTCTCTATATAGTGACAGAAGAAACAGGCGAAGAGCAGAGCAGCCCTCGGGAACCTGTCAGGACGCACCTCAGGTCTCCACCTCAGACTGCCACCAGCTTCTCAAATGAGGGAAGGAGGGAAGATGCTCACTTGGGAGACTGACCTCCTCTTGATAATGTGCTGTTTCAGGTCTTCATACACTTACAAACTAAACAGTTTACAGCCACGTATGGGGCTCATACCTGTATATCTAGCCCTTGGGAGTCTGAGAGAAGAGGGTCATGAGTTCAAGACCAGCCTGGTCTACTTAGTTTGATGCCACTTAGCATACTAACCTTTTTTTAAAACAAGGGAGGAAGGAAAGGTGAGTTAATTTAATCACTGTTAGTTTTAGAACTCGTGTATATGCAGGAGAGAATGGATCCCACCAAGCTGTCCTCTGACAAGTACACAACCACACCCCCACACAATAATGACACTAATAATAATGTCAATTATCAATGATGATGGACAGTTAATATAGAAAAGTAATTGCTAAGATT